TCAATAACAATTGTTATTTCAGCAATGTGAATAACAATTGTTATGTCAGCAATGTCAATAACAATTGTTATGTCATCAATGTAATGACAATTGTTATGTCAGCAATGTCAATAACAAGTTTTATGTCAGCAATGTTTATAACAATTGTTATGTCAGAAATTTCAATAAAAATTGCTATGTCAGCAACGCCAATAACAATTGTTATGTCAGCAATGTGAATAACAATTGTTATGTCAGCAATGTCAACAATTGTTATGTCAGCAATGTGAATAACAATTGTTATGTCAGCAATGTCAATAACAATTGTTATGTCAGCAATGTCAATAACAATTGTTATGTCAGCAATGTCAATAACAATTGTTATGTCAGCAATTTCAATAACAATTGTTATGTCAGCAATTTCAATAACAATTGTTATGTCAGCAATGTCAATAACAATTGTTATGTCATCAATGTAATGACAATTGTTATGTCAGCAATGTCAATAACAAGTGTTATGTCAGCAATGTTTATAACAATTGTTATGTCAGAAATTTCAATAACAATTGTTATGTCAGCAATTTCAAGAACAATTGTTATGTCATCAATGTCAATAACTATTGTTATGTCAGCAACGCCAATAACAATTGTTAGGTCAGCAATGTCAATAAACATTTGTTATGTCAGCAATGTCAATAACAATTGTTATGTCAGCAATGTCAATAACAATTTTTATGTCAGCAATGTCAATAACAATTTTTATGTCAGCAATGTCAATAACAATTGTTATGTCAGCAATGTCAATAACAATTCTTATGTCAGCAATGTCAATAAACATTTGTTATGTCAGCAATGTCAATAAACATTTGTTATGTCAGCAATGTCAATAACAATTGTTATGTCAGCAATGTCAATTGTCCGCAATGTAACGACTAAAGCGTGCAGCGCTGAACGATTCTTTGGTGAACACTAACAACAATTTGTTTAACAATTGTTTTCACTCAGGAGGTAACGAAATTTGCGAAGAACACGGTATATGGCCCTTGGGTTCGACCTATCATCATGAATCCAGATATAACTTATCACAGTAATTATCTAGAATATGAAACTTCTACCCCTGATCCAGTGCAATTAAAGTCGACAACTCAAAACCAGTCATTTGTATGTACCACCACTCACTTAGATATGTCATCAGCTCTCAAATCGAGGTAAGAACTTATGACATTACATTTGAGTATAAGCAAAACCGCCCAGATATAGATGTTATCAGCTCTTAAATCAAGATAAAATAATGATGGTAGTCTGCTTTGACCTTTCCCCCGTCAGCTCTTAAATTATTTGTGTATCAGCAAAACTGCCTTGATACAGATGTCATCTGCTCTCAAATCGAGCTGAGGACATACTACATTATAGTTGCTTATCAGTAAAACTGCCCAAATACAGATGTCATCAGCTTCTTAATGTATATATCATAATATCATGAATTCAAAGGCTTTGGCTACTTTGTACGCTCTGTTTTAACTAATTCATGTAGAAATTCTGCTTCGTATGGATATTGAAATAAATCAGTCATCACAACAGCACAGTTCGCTTCCATAGACATGTTAATACGATACATATGCTCGATATGTTGCCAGGAAAATAAAAAAATGTCATCACCATCAAATCAAAATGAGAGAGCAAAATAACCTCATTTGTAAGCAACATTACTGCTACAGGGATGTCATCTGTCAATGTGCAATATAATCAGTAAGCCGGGTCAACTTTTAACAGTGTTTTGAGCATTTACCTGAACACTATAATTCTCAAATCTTGTGGTAAATTGTCTGGCATATCGTATGTTACTGATGTCTACCAATGTAACTTTGAATTCTGTGATTGTTCACTAGTTGGGCTCTTTTCAACGCAACAGGAAATGATGGAATAAAGCAAGGCGAATACGTACATGTTGTTGTTGAAACACGTGACGCACGTGATCACAGAAAACATGTAGGCGGTGACTTTCTTTATGGAGTAATGAAAAACACTAAATTGAAGAAAAGTACAAGTGGTAGAGTAATTGACTATAACAATGGTACATATAGTGTATATTTTTTTGCTGGTTGGCACGGAAAAGCCACAATAACAATTATACTTTGGAATACAAAAGAAGCTATCCAATGGTTTGATACAGTGTACAGAAAATATGAACGACGCTACGAATGGAAAGGGGTCTTTCAACGTGGTAAAATTACGGAAAAAGGTGTTTGTTACGTTCTCAGAGATGAAGTATTATTAGACAAATGTGAATATCGAAATGAACATGCAATGGGAAGCACGGTATTCATGTGCGACAAGCCAGAAAATATGTCATGTGATTCATTATATCTAATACATAAAGGAGCTAAAAGCAAATTTGCCGAATCAATACTACAACCAGATCAAGAAATATTATTCCAAAAGTAAGTGAGAGTGACGCCGAGAGTGGGATAGAAGGAAATAACAGTAGAATAAGAGAGAAAAAAGAGAGATTAGAACAGAAAGAGAACGCCAGAAAGCCTTATAACTACACTAATTTCAATTAAAACATTCTCATTGAACCACAAATTGTGTACACACTGCACACTAAATACATTTCAAGACAAACTGTGAAAGATTAAATAAATATAGAATAATAATAAGAAAAATGGCAATTTAAGAAAAAGCAAATCTTACAGGAATTTATAAAAGTAATGCCTAACATATATAATTCTGAATAATCAACATTGCTCACCATTAGTATTATTACTTTTCCAGGCCATACATGACGTCGGTCATTTCTGGTAGTCCATTGGTCATTTCTATTAAAGGTGAATTACGATTGTTTTTTATGAACTCAAGAATTGTATTATAGATAAAATACAGGAGAACATGTATATAAATGTATGTATTGGAAATTAAAAAAAAAAATAGTGAAATAGTACTCAAATTCAAACATTATTTTTTCAGAAGACAGTACAAAACAGGAAGCAGTATTGGATGGTCGGCCATCTTGCAAAGCTAAATCACCTACACTGATGTCAACGGGATTTTGGGAAAACTATAATACATGGATATCCCTAGTATGTAAGACAAGTAACTGGACAGAAACCACTGCACGAACATGTCTGAGAGGTAAAACGGTTTATATGCTGGGAGATTCTACTTTGAGACAGTGGCATATAAGCATCACAGAGCTTATGAAACAAGTTAACACCCATGAAACAGATATATACAAATCATGGTCAGACACAACACATAACATTTCAGTAATATGGAAATTTCATCCCTTAATGATTGGAAGTAAATATATCCATTTTTGGGACCAACAATTTGAAACTGATGTCATTGACCGAATAGATGGGTGTAATACAGTGATTGTTTTGAGTCTAACATATCACTTTGTTTCATGGACTACAAAGTCGTACCTTGAAAGACTGAACCAGGTGAAAAAAGCTGTCATACGTCTACAAGCCCGATGTCCAGACACTGTCGTTATGCTAAAAAGTTCTCATCCAAGACAGAACGCTCAGATAGGATACGTCTACAGCGCCTGGATTCTATTTGACATTAACCGAATGTTGAGAGAACTATTTTCTGATATCGGTGTTCGGTATATAGATGTATGGGATATGTCTCTCTCACATTTCTCCAAAAATAACGTCCACATGCCAATGAACGTTATTCGACAACAAATTAATTTGTTTCTGTCTTATATCTGTTCTGATTGAGTCAAAAGAATGAATACAGATAATAACTACTTCACAAAATTCAAGCATAGCAGAATGTATTTCAGTAGTTACTGTATTGAGTTTAGTTTTATTGTGTTACTTCTCGTGTGTTACAATTGCTTAAACTTGTGCCCGCTACTGATTTCTTACCATTTGTATATTCGTGTTACAATTAGTTCGAATGAAAAGGCATAGCTATCCCGTGTATGTCGTCTCCATACATCATAGTCATTGTCAGATCTACTGCGGTCAGAAACCAATCATTATCTATAGATCAGCACGAATAATTCGGTTTTGATGATTCAGATTATATTTTTGAAGACAACGTTTTCAGAATACAGTAACGTGACTAATTGTAAAGGATACTAAAACACAATGTTAGGTTATCCAAACTGTAAAAAAAAAGTTATATATTTGCTCCTAGATTATATCACCAATACGTTTTTTAAGTCATCAAACGATGCACACAGACGAAATAGGCAATCTTATCAGTTTAATATTTTTTATGTAACTTGGCATTGATTTCTAGTGAGATTTTGCCGCATATTTCAAAATTGTGATATCATTCCAACTATAGGGGAGGTAGCTTTCGAAGGGGGGATTTGTATGATTGTTAATGGACAATGAATTTATTTGTTGAAAGCACGCCCTCTATTGTGACCCTCTTATGTTCAATTTCCCCATCATGGTCACGGAATTATGGGATGTTTTTTTATTTTGATTTCCTTTCAGCATTGATTGTGTATTTGCCATCACCATTCACACACTCTGTATTGTTTGCAAATGCCTAATGTGAAAATCTGTGCTAAAACGATGTCATACTATCATGATACCAATAACAAATCATGACGTGACGAAGCAGTTTTTTTATTTCGATTTGTGGTTTTTATTGTGTTTTTCAGTTTTCAAAAATAAAA